AAGCCAATGTCCTTTACTCAGGTGAGTCCTCACTCACAGAGGAGGCTTGCCTGAAGGAATAACTGCACAGTTTGGCTTTATGAACTTATCATGATGCTCACCATTACCAGTTTTGTGCTTTCTACTATTAACTGTGATTATTAATTAATGCTTAACGTGTTTTCCCAGCAGTTCTATCACCCTCGCAGCATCTCTGGGGAAATGTCGCTCTCCTCAGCTGAAGCATGAGCCCAGGCTGGGTCAGAATTAACACATCAATCCGAATTCAGGAGTTCCAGGCTGCTGCTCTTCTCAGATCACCAGATCCTACTTCTTCCTGCCTCACAGCTAGACTTCTCAAACACACTCTCGCTGTAAGCCCTACGTCAGTGCAATAATAAAGGGAGATTTTTCTACGTGCTCCTGACACAGAAATCAAATTAAATGGCAGCTTGCCTCTGACAGTCAACACAACTCCTCCGCAGGTTCCTCACCCCACACAGATAGATCTAAGGCTCCCATCACGTGTGACTTGATTTATTTGTTTGGCATTGCCGTTTTACACCCTGGTTCATAAACACTGTGTCAGGTTGCTGTATCCTCTTTACTCTGGCACCAACAAGAATTATAACACTACAGTACTACAGTATTTATAGACTTAAAATCTAGCAACCACGTCTTGCCAGACCTCATGAACACACTAGAAAAGTTCTGAAGCATTACAGTACATTTACACAAAACACCTGCCTCAATTTTTTTTTTTAAACCATCTGTTAAAATCTAGACTAAGAAGAAAGGTATCAACTTGTAAAGGCTATTACAATTTTTAACGGTACTTATAAAAATGCTGCACTTCTCTGGCTAAATTCTAGCCAAGAAGCCACATCTCCCTGTCTAAAATTTTTACTTATAGCAAGTATCTCAAGTTCATAGCTTGTACCTAAACAGTCTTTCCTGTACACTGTAGCTTTGTGTTGATACACAGCTGCCAGCGGGCAAAGTGACTCCAACATATGGGGCAAAACTCTCTCTTGTAGAGCAAAATAAAACTTGCTTGTACTGAAACACGGAACGATTCAAGGTCAAGTGGGGATACACAGAATATATTATGGACTACACATCATGGACTGTTATGCTTATCTTGTGGTCATGAGTATAAAAAAAAAATAAAAATAGGATTGTTTTAAAGACAGTCTGACACGCTTCTCACCCACACCATTCCCCTACTGTTCAAAGGCAATTTAAGTATGTTTTGTCCCTTTTTTTTCCCCCTGCCTGTGTTAGTGCAATGAGGCCAGGAGAAAATTCTGGCTGGAACACTTAGCGTCACTTTGAAAACAAGAACAACTAGTGACTGTGCTTTAAAAGTGTTTTCCGCTGTGAGAGCCTTACCAAAGAAATTCTCAGACAAGGCAAAAAAAAAAAACTTGCTTTCAGAGGAATACCTGAAGGTCCTTCTGGGCAGAAGGTGGTCAGTGTAAGCAAAAACTCAAATTGCTAAAGTAAACTAAATGAAAGTAAATCCGCATTCTGTAGAGCAAGACTTAAATTTCATAAGCTAACATGTACCTATTTCTGGTGTTGCTTAACTGCGAGGAGGATTGAACATGTGCATTTCCAGGGTTTAAATATAACACAGAGTATTATAGCGGTGTTTCCACTTCTGCATTAGATAAACTTTAGCGCTAAAACGGAATATTGGGATCTTAATGACCTTGCTTTAATAAGACCTAAACTTTTAATTAACCTGCCAAGACAAATTACAGCCCATAGCTCTTAGGTAACTATTGCAGACAGCTGAGACTCAACACCAATGTCTCTTCTGGGAGAGGGATTAATGGCAGCTTTGGAGTGAGACTGCTTTTTTCAGCAAAGAAAAAAAGTCCATTAAACAATCACTGTGGCTAGAAGAAAGCTGAGTGCTAGTTTTATGGACCAATCTTTAAATTACAACCAAATGAATTTGGGTATATGAAGAGTTTCATCAGGTCAGTCAAATTTAAAATTAAATATCATTGAATCAGAAACAGATTCTGATATTTACAGGGTGGAGGAAGAATGCTAGGCTGTCAGGCAGCCCACGGGAAGCATCCTTTTCCTCCTTGGACAGCAACAAATCGGCGTCTGTGCGCTGAACTGGCAGGGCACTTACTGCCAGAGAAACTGAGAGACCTGTTTAGTTAATTTGTTCTTAAGAAAGCTAAGCTTCTTTCTGTTAGGAAATAGAAACAGACGTTCCTGTTGTTGTGGTTCCTACTACCAAGCCCTGCAGTGCTCTTTTTTGGAGTTTTAACCCCAATACTCTGCCTGAACTCCAGCTTGGGTAATACTGACGGCGCTCAAAGGCAGGACTGTCTTCACACAAAGCTGTTGCATGGTGCTGCCGTGTGCTCTTCAATCATTACTATACCACTGCTCCAGAAAAAGAAAAAAAAACAAAAAACCTAAACAAACAAGAAAATGAAATAAAAAGACTAAAGGAAGAAAATGAAGCAGGGAATTTCAAGCTTGTAATGCACCTTTGGCACTGGGCAGAATCTCAATACGGATATAGGTACTAAAAAGTCCTACAAAGTATTTATCAGATATTTAGAGCCTAATGGTGTTCAGCTTGTTGCTAAATACAATCCCCTACAAGCATTCTCTCCGAAACCACACAAAGCCACCATGCAATTTGAGTATGTGCATTAATACCTGGCCTCGAGGCATATTTATGAGTTCAGGAATAATACAGGAAATCCTTACCAATAGCAGTAGTAAGAAAAGAAACCACTTCCGATTCTTTGCCATCATTGTAGAAGGCTAAATGCCATATTCCTGAATCTAAATACTGGATAAACCCTGTCTCATGGCTGGACAAGGGCACAAAAGCTCTGTGTTGCCGCTGAGGTCCTTCTAAGCTTCTTGCCTCCTGTGTCAGTAGACGTCTTCCATCAAGGAGCTCAACAAAGTCAAACTGAAACACAAGAAAAGAAAGTCGTTTGTGTATTTCAGGTTTCCTCAAGCTTAGTCTCTTGCTCTGGGTCTACAGAAGCATCATAAACAGGATTTTCTCTGCTAACTCAAGTATGTTCCTGGACTACCTGCAAGTAACCATTTTGGAAATAGCTAGTATATGAATGTACTCTTCTGTAATTGCGTGAATCAAGAAATCATCTTTATTTAGAATATGACTTGGGGCATATTGACCCTACCGACGTGTTCTCATTCTGCAGAAACAAGGGAAATATAAAGTCCAGGGACCATGCCTAAATTGCACTGTAAGTATGATGATAAGAAGCTTATTTGTCAGCTTCTTTGTGTCTTCGATAAGAAGGAAAATATGCAGAAAACTGTATCTAGCCTAAATGAGTTATTTGCCAGAATTGCTATTGGTCACCAAGAAAAAGATAAGAGGTATTTGTAAGTAAATCCTGGTAGAGGTTTTGCAGAAGTATTTTGCTCAGCCAACAAGGGTTTTATCTTAAAGCAATAGCAAAAGTGGTTAAAAGGTTGTAGAAGATGAAGACAGAAAAGATATAAAGTAATATATAGAAGTCCCATTTCGGGGGTGGCTTTTGGGAGTTTCCCTCAAAAGGACATATTGATTTTTTTGCCAGGGTAACTTTTGCTGAACAACTGCTTTGATTTTCCACTAGTATTGCAACACCCTTTATTTCCCTATTTAAATAACTTTCCACTGACTTTCTGCAATAATTGTATTTTGTCTTATGTTAATGGGATGAGTCAGATACAAGCCTAGCAGACATCAGAAATATTAAGTGAACCTTATCTAATCTGACTTCTATCATTTATTTAGATGAACAGGAGATCTTGCAAGGAGAATCCAGCAGATGAGGCACAACTTAGCTTTTGTATTCCAACTTCACTTGGTTTTGCCTCTCTCATCCAGCTGGACAAATAAGCTTGTAGTTTTTGGCAGGAAGGAAGAAAACAGGCAGAAAAAAACACCACTTATTTTTATACCAGTAAATGTCACTGCACTAAATGGTTGCCGAGTGTTGGCTGAGTGTGGCAACAATATTTTGGCTTCTTAACCCTTTTGACTTTAGCAAAATTTGGATGCTTCTGTTACATTATTAAGTTGGCTGGTATGGTCTTCAAAGTCAACCAAGATATGGACTTGATGACAGGTTCCTTCCTCTGCAGTCATTGCTAAGTTAAAAAAAAATGTTTATTTCCAACAACATTTTGAGAAAAAAGGTATATATCACAGAGTAATAGAATCATAGAATGGTTTGGGTTGGAAAGGATCTTAAAGACCATCGAGTTCCAACCCCCCTGCCATGAGCAGGGACACCTCCCACTAGACTAGTTTGCTCAAAGACTGTCAAATGACATAGCTTGCATATGAAATGACAAAATTTGTCCCTAGACTTTTTTAATTACTGTATTTTTAATTATTTATTTACATGAAATAAGTTTTGAGTCCTGCTTTCATTTTTTTGCTGTATTTGAGTATTCTCTCAAATTTGGTGCTGAAGTGGCTTTCGAGAACGTAAAAGCTGGCACACCTACAAAGACATTGCTTTTGGGTGTCTACCCAAGTCAGCTTTGTCAGCGATAGAGTTTTTATTTTGAAAAAAATATAATGTAAGTACAAATGATAACAATATACAATATAAAGATATAAAATCTGAAAATATAATGCAAATATAAAATCTAAAAATCTATAATTAAAAATTAATTTTCTGTTTTGCAAAAATATAATGAATTAGTGATTTTAAGTTTAAGAGGATACTAGTGAGTGGTTGGATTGCATGACACTTTGTGAGCCAGATATTTGTAGCCACTCTGAGGACAAGCTATTGCCTAGGCTGGTTCCTCATCAGGTCTCAGCGTGGCCATGACTGACACAGCCGAGATGGGCAGTGACAGAGGAGATCATGGTGCTGTGTGGTTTTTGGGAAAGTCTCAGTGGAGTTGAGTTTGAGTAACACATTGGCTGAGCATACTGAAGAAATTAAAACCAGTAGGAGAAAAACCTACATATTTCCATTTCCATTTTGGAACATGATGGAACAAGATGATTGATTAAGTTTTTAAAAGGTAACTGCAGACACCAGAGGTAAAGTTCATCCCACCAAGTGCTGACATCTTCGTGGAAGCTTGAATTAGTTTTCTAGAACAACTGGATCGCAGTCAAAGAAAGAGACACTTCTAGAAAGCAACCATCTGCCTCGTCCTAAAGTTGACATCTAAGAACTATCTCAGGGATTGTGCCCTACGAGGATCCATTTCTTGCTACATACTCAATGTAGATCCTTAAAGCCTAGCGAGATGAAAACAATTCCAAGGCACCAAGCTACAGTGAGCTGTTGTTACAGCCCAATCTGGGTTATGCTTATTTGGGGCTTCCTGCCAAATGTAAATTTTATTTTTATAAATATTTGCAAGATGCTGCTGCGGATGTTGATGACTTTGCGAAGTTTCTAGTTACTACTTGTAAATATTAATTGAACCACAAATGGATTGTGCTTTATTGCATTTTAACACATTCAGAGATTTGTAACATGCAATTAGAGTTATTGCAAGCAAGGAAATCGCAGATGAAATACTATGTTAATAAATTCAAATTGTATAAGTGGAAAAATGCCTCCCACAAGCTCTGATGGCCAATGCCTAAAATTTATGATTTAACAAAATCTGGCCTAGGTTAAAAAGAGTTTAAAAAATGATTCGATCTAGAAAGATTAAATCTAATAGTCCATAATAAAATTGTATAAATTTTATGATGATTTGTTGAAAAGAATAAGAAGAAATGCCTTTAGTTAACAGTAAACGAGTTTAGGCTTCTGCAGGCTTTATTTTGAAGACTGCAGAAGTTTGGAGCTTGCATTTTATTCTGACTTATTAGTGTCGATGGTTGTTGGTAACCTCGACTAGAAGACAGATCACCAAAGGCAGAGAAAGTTTCCCAAAGACAGTCTGGAACAGTTTGTTGTTTTATCATGGATAAATATGACTTTTAACATTTTACCAAATTCAGAAATATATGCTAAGGGTCTACAGCCTTGGGATCAATTCAAGTTCCTGAAAGAGAATAGACTATGTTAATGGCAACACTACAGAAGATGGATTATCTAAACAGAAGAAATATCTAATTATCTAACACAGAAGAAAACCTGATTGTCAGCTAGAATTTTACTACTGCCATCAACTAGATAGGCTGGGGAAAAAAATTTGACCCTTTATTAAATTCTTCCAGGGAGATTGTATCACTGCTCTAAGCATACATTCTGCCAAAGTCTTGTTTATGAAATTCCTTATAGAATTTGGAAATATAAAACTCATTCAGCAGATTTATGGGGTGCAGCAGATACTCTGGATTATGCAAGAGAAAATATGAGATTTGCTTAATACATATTAACAATGAGAGACACAGAAAACAGGTTATCTGGTTAATGACTCCTAAGGCTGTTAAGCTACGGTGAGACTAAATGTTAATGATTAAACTTCATATAAAAATATACAGAAGGAGAACAATGTTTTAATTGACAGAAGGTTTATAAAATAATAAATCTAGGAAAATTAATAATTTCAAAGATAAATTAAATATTAACAAGTAATACATCAATATTGTTTCAATATCTGCAGTTTCATGAAGCTTTTTCTTCACAACAAGGGTGGGTTTGGGGATCTGTTTCTGTTACTGTACCATGACTTTTATTGATTGAATAAAAATGTCCCTCTGGTTATTTTTGGCAATATTTTGGTCCAGATGATGATTTTTTTAAAAAATATACTTGGCAGCTCTCAACTAATGGCTATGCAAAAAGCAGCACTTAAAGGGACTCTGAGCGTGTGCACTGCCTCCCCCAGCATGTGCCACATCCCACGTTCAACGTCTCATTCTCAGCTGAGGCTTCAGCTGACAGACAACCACGCTGTTTTAAATGGGAAAGGTCCAGACACTAACAAATCATTCAGAATATCCCAACAAAAATGAGGCTAAACAAAAAACCAGCAGCAATAGTGAAGTTGGTGCGGGCTTCTTAATTCCTTAAAACAGAAATATGGTTGGGTGCAGTGCCCCGATGCGTTTAAAGATTTTGCTTTAAGTTCAATAGGCTTGAGGCTGAGGTATTAAATTTTACATTTGCTATTTAAATAATTGAAGCCATTCATGTAATAACTCCCGTTCCATAACAGAAATTAATAATTATAATAAACTAGTAAAATAAGAGTTAGCACAGACTTCTGATCTACAATTAGTATTATTGTTGTGACCATGACTTTAGTTTTTTATTTAAACAATACAGGACTTCTAAGTTTCAAATGTTTGAACCTCCTTGTAAAAAGAAACTGATTAAAAATGGGCAATAACAGCTCTACTGTGTCACGGAGTTTATGACCTGCCGATTCTATTGAAATATTTTAATTCTGCAGAAAAGTAGGCAGAGAAAGTGTAGATTTATGATACCTCTTTGACACAAATAAGTTGCAGGTGTGTTAATCTGTAGAAAACACCGTATTACCCTGAAAGATTGTAATAAACATATTTGTTTGTTCAAAAAGAAAATAAAGGCAGGGCATTTCTATAAATCTCAAGTAGTTGTGTCGGTTGCCAGGCATTACAGTTCATAGTGGAGGGCAAGGGTAAGTTACAACATTAATGTAAACCTGGCAATACTTTGATAACTTCCTGATGCAAGTGGGAGTAAGATGCTTTGCATCGCCAGTGAGAGTTACACCCTAATGGATTAATCAACCTGGTTAAGAGCAGCTTAGAAACTGAAATGGAAAGTAGAGAAAATAATGTACAAAATCCTCATTTAAGAAGACGGTTCTTTGGAGCTTTACCCAAAAAGTGATTTATTGACATGGCTCTTGCCAAGGTGTGTCAAGAAAATCAACCTCTTTCATTTTAGTCCGACAGGATAATCAGTAATTTCTTAATTTCTGCTTAAGTAAGCCAGTGGCTTTCTGTAAAAACTTGGTTTTGTTTGGTTATACACCAGTTACTGGGCCCTGGCTGATCGCAGTCTAATCTGACAGTCAACATGCACAATGTGAGGAGTTGGCTCAAGACATTTCATCACAAATGACAGAAGTGAATCTTGCTCCCATGAGGCGGAGAGACTCGGATCCTGCTGCTCTCACCACGAGAGGGGAAAGGCAGAGGCTGAAAGGGGAAGACAGACCGGAGATACACGAGACTGCTGCATGCTACAAATTCTTGAAAGAAAATAGCTGAAATACTAAAACCAATAAGCCATAAGAACATACAATTTATGACAACAATTATTTCATTTAAAAGAGGTGCCCTTACCTGTGTATGTGATGGTGGGAGGCCTTTTCTGCCATAGATGCCAACCAGAGCGGCCTTTCCTAAAGACACATTGAACTTCAGATGCACTGGGTGGTCGATGAACACCTGAGATCTCCAAAAGATACCAGGAGGGATCTTCTGAGTAGCTCGTCTGCCAACATCAATTTCTCCAGAGTCTATAAAACTGTCGTCTGGAAAGAAACTACTGGGCTTTCCTGCCAAAACACAGGAACAAAAATCTTGGATTAGCCTTAGATCCTAAAAGTAATCCTATCATACTGGTATCTCTGACACTGATCTGGAGAAACAGTCTAATAGTGTCCTGAGGTCTTCAGAGCACTTTGTGTAGCCAATCCGTACGATTATGGGGGGAAAACTGGCAGGGTTATTCCTGGCTTCAGGAACTGTTTTGTTTGAAAACATGAACATGGGAAGAGCAACCTGGAGAAAAATGGCCTTTTGTTTAAGTTGTAACATCAGAGAGCATGTAATTACATTCTGGAGATAAGAATAAATCATCTGACATTATATCCTGAACGAATGTAAGTTCACGGATGGAGAAGTTATCATTAAATGAGCAAAGAGAAGTGTAGTAATAGCGAGGTAGACGTGTCACAGAATGGAATGGCAGAGTGGAGAACAGCAACACGAACGATGCCTCAGCGGGGAAAGGAAAATGTTTCTGTTTTAAATTAATTCTTGACAGTGGTAACAGGGTTTGAAATTTGTTCTACAGTCCAAGAAAAAGCCTGAGAAAAAAAAAGGACTGAGAAAAATGAAGGAAATCATACCCTGCACTTGAGTAGTACCTACTAAGAAATATGAGAGGCTTTAATTGGGTTTCAATAAAATCTGTAAAGTGTGTTACAATTATCCATCTTCTTTCAGAAGACAACTAACTGGAGGCTTCTGTTTCCTAAAGCAACCACCAGGTTGGAGAGCCTGGTTGAAAAGTATGCAGTAGTGTCACCTGATGGATTTTGGCTTTAGTACAGAGAGCATCATGTCACCGACAAGGACTAATTATTTATTGTAGAAATTCAAATAAATTTGTTATCTCATCTCTGTGCCGTTACAGTGCATTACTCCGTGTTTCATAGATCAAGCAATTCTAACAAAAAGAGGGAAACTTTCATAATCTTTTGTAGGAAAATCACATTATGAGATTTTTTTAATTCCAGAACCTACATCTGGGAAATGGAAAACAAAAATATCTTTTCCCACTCATCACAAATTAAGTCAAATAGCCTTAGAATTTACTTGCTGTGTTGAAAAGGTGATTGGTAGATCAACCTTTCATTTTATTGTTTCAAATTCTAATATTTCTTTTAATATTATACAATATTAATTATAATATTTCTTAAACTTCTCTATATAGCATCCCAACATAAACTCTCCAGGAGAAACAGATGTCAATTGTTAGCTGTCTCTGTAAAAATCCATATAGAGATTATATTTATATTCACTGTTAAGAAAATAAGTCTCTGAAGATGTTTCTTCCTAACATGGAGAATTTTTCTCTCGGTTTTGTTTTTGGTTTTGTTTTTGTGTTTTGTTGTTGTTGTTGGTTTGGTTTTTTTGTTTGTGTTTTTTTTTTTCTTATGTAAAACTTTTTATCCGAACTTTCGGTCCAAATAAGACTAGCCCCCGATTTAGATTTGGCAGCTGCTGAAGTACAGTGTTGGAGAGGGAATTGATGGTGTGTTTCATTTCTGTGCTATCTCGTGGCAGAATTTTTATGCATACCTGCACAGTCTAGAAAGCCAAGGGTGTATACATGTTCATAGAAAAAAAGCTACTGGTAATTTTGTAAGATCCTCATTTTTTTTTTTTTTTATTACATTCAAATGAATATAGGGGGAAAATCTGTTGACTTTTTACCCTTTTCTAGTCAAAGTGTATATTAATAGAGATAATCAGAAGCAGCTTAGGTAAATGGACATTCTTTCCGAATCATTTTGTGCTGATAGAGTACAATTGGAGAATGAAAATCAACTAGCTTGATTCCAGAGGGGATTACTTTATCAACTGGATTGTTAATATTTACTTGGCATACTAAAAATTACCTTTCACACTGCCAGTATTAAAGGAAACATTTCCCATGCCTTCATGCTTAGTTTCTTATTCTATTATTGTAAGATGAAAAGATCCAGAATACTATTGAAAAAAGAGCTAAAGACAACACATGTTTTGGTTCAAACAAAAGATATATTTCTCTGATTACTACTGACATGTTTTATAGACTCCTAGAAATTCAGATGAAAACCTGAAGTATTTGATATGCACCCTGATTGTTCATTAATAAAGATTATATGTCAGAGTAAATCAGGGAAGGTGAGAATTTAATCTCATAGATGTTGCTGTGCAAGAGATAACCTGGAGAAAATGAGCACGGTATGTATTCTGCCTGTACAGAAAGCAAAAAAGCTTCTGTGATTGCAGAAATAATTGTTTGTACACACAATTAAAAGTTTATTTCTCCTCTTGGTGGACAGCTGTATGTCTCAGAAGCTGATATCCTAAGAACTGTTACATCATGTGGCCAGCGGTTGATATTTATCCTGATGCAGAAGTCCAAAGCTCTCTTCACCAGGCTGAATTCAGCCCCTGGAATCCATCCGTGCTTCATCAGTGTTTAACCTACAGCAGGATCAGGCTCTATGGACTAGATATTTCATAAAGTACAATAAGAAAGTCATTTCAGCTTCTAATCAGAAATTAGGTTTTAATCAGAATATCTGACTCCTTAAAATTAACTCAAGGTCTAAACTCTTAATTGGGCTGTCAATTACTTTGCTCTTTCCACACATTACCTTGAACTTTTTAGTTGCCCTAGCAACTCTTTCTAATTTATTTGGATATCAGAATGAACTATTTCATTTCAGCCCGTGCTGAATCTGTTTGTATTTTTGATAGCAAGGTACCCTGACTCATCAAAACACTTCAGAACACACTTACATTCCTCTAACTTCAATCACAGTTAATTACACGCTTAAATGTAGGCATGTGATTAGGTGCTTTGCTAAACAAGGATTGGCTTAAACACGGGTAATGCTGTGCTGGAGCACACAGCCACGGATGAGAAGAAATTGCTATTACTGAGAATTGGCAAGACATTCATTCACATCAGCTGGAAGGATGTTTTAACACATTCTAGCCTATTTCATTGTGATCAAGACTTTAAAATATACCATTTCAATCCTTTTTAAGATAAATTTAAATCATATGCATTCTGGTTTAGAACAGCAGCCAGGCAACACTCCTAGTCCAGGATTAGTTGCGGAGTCACCTGATGGGGAGAGAGACCCATTTTAAGGCTGGGCAGTGTTACTCCTGCAACAAACATGGTGTGCTGGTGTGGTTTTTAGACAGGACAAGATACTCTCCTCTGAAGCCTACAGATTCCCTAAGATCTATACGAAGAGGGGTCTCCTAAGGATATAAGTAGGGTATTTCCCAGATCTCTCTTTTAACAGAGCTTTTTGTCAGCAATTCAAACTTCAGCTGATATCACTGGAAGCATGGCAGAAAAAGAAATCAAGTGGAGGTCTTTGACTTGGATGGCAGGTTTGGATGCAGCCATTTATTTTCATTTTGACTTGTAAAAGGAAACGGACAGATCAAAACTAGATGTTTCAAAAAGGAAACATATGGCAAGTTAGAAGGAAAAAGAAAAGGATCTGTCATGAAGTTTTTTTGAATACAACAGCAAGTCTAGTGAGGTTTGCTGAGATTTTTCCTTGTAGCAACTTGCTGTCAGCCATCAGCTGCCAGTAAATACAGTGTTTTAAGAAACACACATAATTATGACCTTTATTTGAACTAATAAAGACAGATAAGCTCTTAAAGAAAAAATACTACAAGTAATTTAAATAAATATGTAAACACAGGCTCTCAGCCAAAGTCTAGGGAACTCCGTGGAAACTTCTGAAGTCCATGAGTTGCCAGAACAGTAGCATACTTCTTATCTCCTACCCACAAAACTTCCTCCTCCAGAATAACTAGCAAAAATAGCCAATGACTTCAATTTCACTGGAATCTGTTAACCTCGTCTAAAGAAGCTTGACCCACAAAGAAAGAGATTTCTGAAAATTTGAATTTCTCGTTTCTCCAGCAATGTCTTGAGAGGGACAACACCTCTCCTTTGTGGAGCTTACAGTGCTGCCTCTATACAAAGCACTGCAAGATGTAAAGCTGCTGGATAATGCACTGCTGAATTGATGACCCACCAGTTGCTTCTAGTTCCAGTTACAATTCCAAGCTGTGGACATCGCGACGCTTTGTGGAGAATAGGCTGCTTTTATCCGGCTGCTTTTGCAACAAGACATCCAACTCTGGAGTGCCAAAACTCACAGTGTAATAGCTCTTAGCAAATATTTTCCTTCTCCAAACATTTGGTACTAGGTGGCAACGAGTAGGTAAACTCATTTTTGTACTGCTGTAGAGAAAGCTTGATCCAATGCTCCAGGAATCAATTAATTTTCAAGATACATTTTTTTCCCATGAAAACAGCCACTGGAGGCAGGGTTTTCATGACAGCTTTCCATAGCGTGTGAGATATGGTACAGATGGTTCACCCTGAGAATGCTTTAGGTGCGTGGTGAGGGTTACACACAGTTTTATCGCATTAGTGGACATCAGAAGGAGATGAAACTTAGCAACATATGGAAACAAGACCAACGACTACTAGTTCTAGATGTGAAAGATTGGAAAAAGCACCTGATGATGGCAGCATTGAAGGTAATGGAACATGAGATTAGATGGCTGGAGTTCAGAGGTAGACAGAAGACTCACAACATGGACACACACCACCATACCTTCACTGGTTCCTTTGCCTTTCCTGTCAGGTAACTCTAACCCTGTGCCCCCCGAAGGATATAAGGAGACGTCCGTTGGCACTGGCCAACTGCTGGCTGTGTCTTCCGTGATTTCATACATCTGCCCTTCCATCGGCTGCAGGTGCCAGTTTAGGCCAAACAGGTGCATGGCTGTGGTGAGCAATGAGAAAAGTCATCTTTTTCTGCCTGGGAGAGTTTCAGAACTACAGGGGCACTTTCTAAACCCTTGCTCCACTGCATTATTAGTGGTCATTGCTTTAGGACAAGAATGAGATTAATGTAATTAGACAGCCCCTGCTGCTTCTACCATACCAACTCCTTAGATCTTTCCACCCACTTAAACTCATTTTAGATCACCTGTACCAATCCACTCTGCTTCTCCCAGTAGAACCACTCCCGACTCCTGGCCTGTGTGAAAGAATTACCAGGCACAGTGTTTCAGAAAGCTCCCAATGCTGGGGTGACCATGCGGTGAACACAGAAATATAAGTATTATTTATCAACATACCAATACATCCCAGGAAACTGCACTCTGGATTGTTTTGTTGTATTAATAGCATATTATATAGATTATTTTAATTTTATTTTTTTTACCCACCAATTATAGACAGAAGCTCTTACAGACAGAAGCTCTTATAGGCATCTCTGACAGTTTTTTCCTGAATAAGACCAAATAAAAACAAAGGCAATTTAAGATCCATCTTGCACCCATGCCTTTGTGCTCAGCATCACAAATGTGTTTACAATAAAGCACTCCTTAGTCCAACTCAGCTTCTGTTCAGATCAAAGATACATCCTCAAGATTTGAAAACAAGCAGCACCATTGAGACTTGTGTGATATCAGGGCATAGCTCTCTGTAGGTTTTTGGGGCATGCAAAGTCATCCAACACAACATGAATCTATTTCAAGGCACTACATAAAGAGAAGTGAAGTTAAGGAATAAGACAGAATACTTATAAAGCAAACACACGTATGAGGAGTATGGAAAATCATATGCTTATACAACTGATACTTGCCGCTTGAAAATATAAAGCAAAAGTGGCTCCCCATATCAGTTCTGTCCCCAGCATAAACATTTCATACTCAATCAGCATCCATTTTAGCTTCAGGCTCTCCACAGCTAAATGACTGTGTATTTGCTACACTTGGAATGACATTTCTTTTTTAAGGGAACGCCTTGATATTTTACACTGTAATTTCTCCATGGAACTGTACAATGGCACTAGCATCACAGACATTTAACATAAACCAAACCAGTGAAGAAACATCTCCCTTGTCTGTAGTTCTCATTTTATTCACAAAGATAGATCTGAACTTGGCAAACACCATCAGGGACAGGTGGTTAGTTTATTTCAACCTGTGCATAAGGAACAATCTTTTCAAGAGGATTGAAAAGTAATCTGAGTAGTTCTCCAAAAAAAAGCATGTTTAGGCAATTTAGCAAAATCACTGATTTTTTCCACATCAGTCTCAATTAGGTCATCTATCATTTACTAACATGAATAAGCTCGTCTTCGCACTAGTACAACATCACAAAACACAATGAGAGCAAAACTCTCCTTTTATCATGTAAGCAGGGTCTGGGTGTGTTAACAACCATTAAGAAAGAGAATACTCTCCTAAAATTCCCAAAGAGCAAGAAAGGTCTCCCAAGGACCCGCTCAAAGCTCAAACATTTTTCTACAGGTACACATACCAAGAAGGAATGCCACCAACACAACTGGTAATTCAAGCAGGATGCTTTAGGCAGAGGGGCCAGTATTTTCATCTGAAAGGAGTATATTTACTTGGCAGGGAAACTGTGCAAGGGAAGAGAGGCAATCAGGCTGAGAGTAAGGAATTTGCATCAAGCATTTGGCATTGCTACGCTTGCATAATATCTTGGTGTTTATACAGCCCTCATCATCAGAGCGCCTGGGCACTTCATAGCTATTAACCTCCTAAAACCTCATCAGGTAGGAATCTGTTATTTCTGCTTCACAAAAAGGAAAAAGAGAACTACAGCAGATGAAAGGACTGACGCAGTTCACTTGGTTGGGTATTAAAATGTGATTGTGTGTTAATTCACTTAACTTACTCTGTGCTCACAGGTTCATAAGTTCTAACAGGCATTTCATGCTAAACTCAGTACTGGGTGCTGCCTGAGGTTGCCATCCAGACCGGACCTCGCCATGGACCGGAGCATCACCCAGGTACCGCTGAGCTGTTGCACTTGCACGTGCAAGTTCCCACGTTTAACCTTATGGATGTCTGTAGTTCAAAGCAGGATGAATACTGTACTATTCACTCCTCCAAACTCAGACGATCCTAGACGGCAAGCAGTCCGGATGACTGTTGTAATTTTACACAACACAGGTGCTTGCTCACCTATTACCCCTTGTCCTGTCCCTACAGGCCCTGCTAAAATGTCTATCTCTATCTTTCTTTAAAAAAAAAACCCCTTAAAGTACTGAAAGGCTGTAAGAAGGTCTCCAATGATGACCCACAAGAATGAGATCTATGCACATCACGCATACAAAAGCACATCAATCTGAGAAACAGAGAATTATTTCAAAACCATTTTGACTACTAAGTGGCTTAAAAAGGATTCAGAAAACAGAGTGCAAAAGCTTGGAGCTAGTACTCTATTCAGGGTTTCCAATTTGATATTTCTAAGCACAGAATAAAAACCTATAAATATTCCCACCCATAAGGCAAACAGACATCCAACAGTGCAATTTCTGCTGCAGGTAGGTTATAACCCCAAAAGCCTTCCTGAAACCAGAATGAAGAGTTGGATTTACTTTGGAAGCGTGCTCTGGTAGCAGATATGTTATTAGGAAATCACCTGATTAAGTGTTTATCTTAACGATCTTCCAAATAGCAACAGCATCTGATTGGCAAGCTGGTGGAAGATTTATTCTTCTACTTGCTCACCCTAACTCATGTTAAAAAAGTAAATTAGTAGCAGCAGTGGATGTTTTGGGTCTCTACATCTCAATGGGATGTGTAAAGCTGTTGTTACAAACAGTTGTTTAAAGGCTTTAGGAGAAGCACAAATAAACCTTGTTCTTTTCTAAATTGATGCAAAGTTCTTTCTTGTGGGGAAAAAAAAAAGACTATGATCAGGGAAAATCCCTGTAACGATGGATGAGAGGCACAGTCATACACTTTGAAGTGTTAATGTTCCTAAAAGCAAAGTGAAGCTGTAAAAAATAGTTTGAGATTCCTGATGTTCTCAATCTCCAGGTCAATTGAACCCACTGTTGACATTTTCTCAGGCTTTATTTTTCTCCTCTGCTCAGCCAGATGTAAGATGCAGCTCACAAAGGGCAAACGCCCTCCTAAAAGCCTCCACGTCCTTCTCCCTCTCCCTCCCCAACACGATGCTCAGTAGATACTCAGATATTGAAGGCTCCCCATGTATTAAAAGAGCACACTGCAATTAACAATCATTAAAGTGTTCCCTTTTGGAAAATCCCATGTAGCTTTCACTGCCTAGGAAGCCTCATGACATGCTCTTTGGTTGTATTTCCCATGGCTAATAAAACTCTGCCTTCTCTTGGAATGGAAACAATACTTCGGGGAAACCGTGCATGTGTCCTCTCTGGGCTGTTTCAGCACCAACAACTTAGATGATATAAAGGCTTCTGAGGCCTCTGGACAATTATATTCATGTTTTGACATCAAATTTTCACCTTGCACAACCTTTTAATTGCATCTAAGTGCTACTAAAAAGTGCCCTGAAACTTGCTGAGTGGGTAACAGAATTTTCTGTGGCAGAATAAACCACCTTATCCTCAGTCCCAAGTCACCTCTGGCTTTCTTCTTGCTGGGGAAAAGAAGGAAGCCAAACTCCAGCCCTTTCAGGGTCCGATTGCTTTGCTGCGTTCAGCGTTTCAACCGCCGCAGTGTGATGTGGCCATTCATCGCTCAACTCAGATTCTAACTTGAGCACAGCAAATTTACAAACAGTTTAGGATCAGTTGAGTTATTTAACCATCCAAACAGCTCATGCTGGTGGAACCGAGTATTCAGGATCATGATTCTTTAGGTTTTAACACATTCTCTCATTCCGTATTGCATTATTCCTACTCCAAAGCGGTTTGTGGAGGCCATAAGCAACGTTAAGTGATGCTCTTAAACCACATAAAGAAGAACATTGTTTCCAAGTTTGTTTTGAAGAGACTCAGGCTTCTGGGTATCTTTGTATTATTGCCTCTTGCTCATGACACAGCAAAACACTAACGCCAAAAACAACTTACTCAGCGGAGTAGAGAACAAAGAAACTAGTATAGCATTTAGAATGAAAAAGGACAAACAAAGATAATAATTCACATGGTCAACAAAATGGACTTCTCTTGGGACAGGTTGATGGAGCGAAGGAGTTAGCAGAGAGAGGCAGATGATTGTGATAGATCACAGAGAGAAGAAAAGACAAGACATGCTTACTGAAGCATATGAGACCCCCAGAAACCACACCAGTCAGCAAAAAATGGAAAAACACACTTGCTGGCCCTTTACGAGCTTGTTGCTCTGTCCAAAGCGGTAAGCTATGTGTAATAAATAACCAAACCAATCAATCACAATACTTGAAATTAAGGCTATGGCTGAAGCCACCAGCTGCATCGATAGTGTTTTGTGAAAAGCATCCTCACAGTGGCTCACAGGCTGCTGCCTTCTCGCCCGTCCTCTCCGAGCTAAATCCTGCAGGTACCGCTGCTGCCCTGGTGATTCCTCACCCGAACGAAGCTCCTAGAGAAGCTAAGGAGTGAATAAAATAACAACTATTTACAGTTAGCTACTGATCTTGCCCTGCACAATCAAAAAAGAGTTTCTCAGAATGGAAGCTCAACAAAACCAAGAAGTTAATCATCACCACCCCGAGCACGGTGCACAGCCTGGATTTACAGCACGTGCAGGGGGTAGATGGCACGCAGGCAGGACAGAAAGTCTTTTGGGCTTCTCATTTGAGAAACCTAGCCAGCTGCCTTGTGCTAAGAACGCTTCATATTTTGAATTCATATTTCTTGAAGGATGTCAGAATAGTTTGCATAAATAACACAGGGGAGCGTGCAAGGTTGGGAAAAGCCAGGCTTCTCCGCACAGTCACTGCGCCCTCCTCAGCTCAGCCGTACCAACACTGGGCTCCATCTGGGGAAGAGTTTGG